CTCACTTGCTCTGGTGCTCTTGGGAGGTGTTGATCTTTGGGGTATTTAAATACTCCGAAATTACCATCTCTTTTAAGGGTCTGAGCGGGTGGTGGAGCGGGTTAAGGCGTACCTGTTATGCCAGTTGCTGGAAGGCTTCTGTGCTGGCTAGGGTTCGAGTCTCCTGGTGGGAAAGTGTTCTAAAGTTGTATACTTAACTCTCGTGTTTAGGAGAGTTGTGCCTTAAGCAGAGACACTGTGTCTTAACCATATTAACTTGCTCTAGTGCTTGGGAGGGGACTTGATGAAATTAACGTATAAATGACCCCTCACGTGTTTAGGAGAGTTGCTCTGGTGCTCTTGGGAGGTGTTGATCTTTGGGGTATTTAAATACTCCGAAATTACCATCTCTTTTAAGGGTCTGAGCGGGTGGTGGAGCGGGTTAAGGCGTACCTGTTATGCCAGTTGCTGGAAGGCTTCTGTGCTGGCTAGGGTTCGAGTCTCCTGGTGGGAAAGTGTTCTAAAGTTGTATACTTAACTCTCGTGTTTAGGAGAGTTGTGCCTTAAGCAGAGACACTGTGTCTTCCCATATTAACAGGGACTTGATGAAATTAACGTATAAATGACCCTCACTTGCTCTGGTGCTCTTGGGAGGTGTTGATCTTTGGGGTATTTAAATACTCCGAAATTACCATCTCTTTTAAGGGTCTGAGCGGGTGGTGGAGCGGGTTAAGGCGTACCTGTTATGCCAGTTGCTGGAAGGCTTCTGTGCTGGCTAGGGTTCGAGTCTCCTGGTGGGAAAGTGTTCTAAAGTTGTATACTTAACTCTCGTGTTTAGGAGAGTTGTGCCTTAAGCAGAGACACTGTGTCTTCCCATATTAACAGGGACTTGATGAAATTAACGTATAAATGACCCCTCACTTGCTCTGGTGCTCTTGGGAGGTGTTGATCTTTGGGGTATTTAAATACTCCGAAATTACCATCTCTTTTAAGGGTCTGAGCAGGTGGTGGAGCGGGTTAAGGCGTACCTGTTATGCCAGTTGCTGGAAGGCTTCTGTGCTGGCTAGGGTTCGAGTCTCCTGGTGGGAAAGTGTTCTAAAGTTGTATACTTCACTCTCGTGTTTAGGAGAGTTGTGCCTTAAGCAGAGACACTGTGTCTTCCCATATTAACAGGGACTTGATGAAATTAACGTATAAATGACCCCTCACTTGCTCTGGTGCTCTTGGGAGGTGTTGATCTTTGGGGTATTTAAATACTCCGAAATTACCATCTCTTTAAGGGTCTGAGCAGGTGGTGGAGCGGGTTAAGGCGTACCTGTTATGCCAGTTGCTGGAAGGCTTCTGTGCTGGCTAGGGTTCGAGTCTCCTGGTGGGAAAGTGTTCTAAAGTTGTATACTTCACTCTCGTGTTTAGGAGAGTTGTGCCTTAAGCAGAGACACTGTGTCTTCCCATATTAACAGGGACTTGATGAAATTAACGTATAAATGACCCCTCACTTGCTCTGGTGCTCTTGGGAGGTGTTGATCTTTGGGGTATTTAAATACTCCGAAATTACCATCTCTTTTAAGGGTCTGAGCGGGTGGTGGAGCGGGTTAAGGCGTACCTGTTATGCCAGTTGCTGGAAGGCTTCTGTGCTGGCTAGGGTTCGAGTCTCCTGGTGGGAAAGTGTTCTAAAGTTGTATACTTCACTCTCGTGTTTAGGAGAGTTGTGCCTTAAGCAGAGACACTGTGTCTTCCCATATTAACAGGGACTTGATGAAATTGACGTATAAATGACCCCTCACTTGCTCTGGTGCTCTTGGGAGGTGTTGATCTTTGGGGGTATTTAAATACTCCGAAATTACCATCTCTTTTAAGGGGTCTGAGTGGGTGGTGGAGCGGGTTAAGGCGTACCTGTTATGCCAGTTGCTGGAAGGCTTCTGTGCTGGCTAGGGTTCGAGTCTCCTGGTGGGAAAGTGTTCTAAAGTTGTATACTTAACTCTCGTGTTTAGGAGAGTTGTGCCTTAAGCAGAGACACTGTGTCTTCCCATATTAACAGGGACTTGATGAAATTAACGTATAAATGACCCCTCACTTGCTCTGGTGCTCTTGGGAGGTGTTGATCTTTGGGGTATTTAAATACTCCGAAATTACCATCTCTTTTAAGGGTCTGAGCGGGTTAAGGCGTACCTGTTATGCCAGTTGCTGGAAGGCTTCTGTGCTGGCTAGGGTTCGAGTCTCCTGGTGGGAAAGTGTTCTAAAGTTGTATACTTAACTCTCGTGTTTAGGAGAGTTGTGCCTTAAGCTGAGACACTGTGTCTTCCCATATTAACAGGGACTTGATGAAATTATAGTATAATTGTACCCTCACTTGCTCTGGTGCTCTTGGGAGGTGTTGATCTTTGGGGTATTTAAATACTCCGAAATTACCATCTCTTTTAAGGGTCTGAGCGGGTGGTGGAGCGGGTTAAGGCGTACCTGTTATGCCAGTTGCTGGAAGGCTTCTGTGCTGGCTAGGGTTCGAGTCTCCTGGTGGGAAAGTGTTCTAAAGTTGTATACTTAACTCTCGTGTTTAGGAGAGTTGTGCCTTAAGCAGAGACACTGTGTCTTCCCATATTAACAGGGACTTGATGAAATTAACGTATAAATGACCCCTCTGGTGCTCTTGGGAGGTGTTGATCTTTGGGGTATTTAAATACTCCGAAATTACCATCTCTTTTAAGGGTCTGAGCGGGTGGTGGAGCGGGTTAAGGCGTACCTGTTATGCCAGTTGCTGGAAGGCTTCTGTGCTGGCTAGGGTTCGAGTCTCCTGGTGGGAAAGTGTTCTAAAGTTGTATACTTAACTCTCGTGTTTAGGAGAGTTGTGCCTTAAGCAGAGACACTGTGTCTTCCCATATTAACAGGGACTTGATGAAATTAACGTATAAATGACCCCTCACTTGCTCTGGTGCTCTTGGGAGGTGTTGATCTTTGGGGTATTTAAATACTCCGAAATTACCATCTCTTTTAAGGGTCTGAGCGGGTGGTGGAGCGGGTTAAGGCGTACCTGTTATGCCAGTTGCTGGAAGGCTTCTGTGCTGGCTAGGGTTCGAGTCTCCTGGTGGGAAAGTGTTC